CACATGTAGGATCCAACATGTGACCTTTGTACCTTGCTGATTCGAAGCGCACCATCTTCCACAGTAGCATCAGATAGGACACCTCCAAGCTTACGCCATGTTATCGTGGACGACGTCTGGCCTTGAACCCAACAGTAAAATATTGCTGTCTCGTCCGCAAAAACTTCCTGAGATACTGGATACACAGTGATTTTCGGAGGAACAACACATTCTCCCTTCGGTCCCTGAATACCAACCGATCCTTTGTTGCCTTTATTTCCTTTTGAGCCAACAGATCCTTTTCGTCCTTGAAGACCCTTCGCTCCCGTCTCTCCTTTTATCCCAGTTGCTCCGACAGACCCTTTGTCGCCTTTGTTTCCTTTTACTCCTTTAGGTCCCACAGGTCCTCTTGTGGCACCCACGCATTGAGCCCCGATAGGTCTCGATGGGCCTGGTGGTCCTTCCTTTCCAGGGGCCCCTTTCTCTCCCTTATATCCGGGATATCCAAGGGCTCCTGGTGGTCCTGGAGGTCCTGCCTGGCATATACTGTGGGAAGATTTACAAACTTCACTGAGCTTGTTATTTATTTCTTTGCGGACTTGTTGTAAATTTATTGTTCCTACGGTTGGACTTAAAGCATTACTTCTTTTCTTTCTTTTGTAATGATCCACAGGATGTTTCCTCATTACACCTTCAAAATCTGTGTATCAGACAAGCGGAAAAAAGTTTCAAATACTATCAGAAAAAAAAAAACATATTTATTCATGTGAGACCTAGTCTTTGTCAGAACAATTTGATTCTACATCAGAAATTATCGCCTTTCAGATGTGAACAGAGCAGATCTCTCATAAACCAATCGTTAGTCATCGCCTGGGGTGGGGTCGGAGGATTTTTTGGGGATCACGTAGTTTTCAGGGGGGAACAAAAAGGGGGCGTTCCCTTTTAGGCATTGAGCGAAGTTGGTCAAGCATTCTACAAGAAGATGATTTTTATAAAGGGAAAAATTATTCTATGTTCACAATCAAATGAGTAAATTGAACGCATCCGATTACGTTGAAGATGATGATGAAAATGATAACTCGACTAAAAAGTAAAAACTACGGCTATAATTGTAATAGATCTAAGGAAATAATTGACCAATAGAATAAAAACGAAAAAAAGGACCAACGACTTACAGATATTTCCTTCTACCAACGTGAACGGGCAGAGTGAAATAACTGATGATTTACAATGAAACTGACTTGCCGTAATAAAGCCAACACTGATATATTATACGTTGACAAACGAGTAATTAAAATTGTAATCAAGCGTGATCAAGGCTTAAATTTTAAATCAAGAGCTTAAATTTTAAATCAAGAGTAACGCACCTAAGTGAATAGTCTCGCACGTTTGAATCTTGCACTTAGCATACATTTGTCATTCATTTTCTGAGTTTATCGATCAGCTCATAACCACTTAGAGCAATCCTCTCTCAAGATTTCATTGTGGACTATTAAGACAGCCCCATCTCAGTGAATCACTGATTTGAAGCAAAGTGATTTTAATTCGTCAAGTCACGTATATGTATTACCCGTAGAAGGTATGGACTGTTATATTCTATTAGTCANAAGTAGTAATAAGTGCGTTTTTGAATAGTCACATAGAGATGTTATTGAATAGTCTGACAAGTTAAAGAGGAAGTTAAAAAGTTTCTCTCGTTAGGCTACGAAAACAGGACTGAACCTCCTTGAAAATGAAGTTTGGAAGTGTATATTTTTGTCTTAGTTAATGAAGTTACAACGAGCAAGATATGGAATGGAGCATTGAAATTCACAATGGAAATTTTTTTCAATCCTTACCAAAGACCTCATATTCTCAACCTCCCCCTGCTTTATTTTTACATATGGAGGATCCCGTACCCAGACTTTTCACGGCCAAGTGATTGCAAGTTACAGTTACACTGTAAAACTGGGTATGAGGTACTTCATCATCCCTACAATAAATCAGTATTGAATTCGCCTAAAAGATCACCGCGTGAGTCCATAGCACAATAGTTACGGCCACCGTTAGCCGTTTATTAGTTCAAGGGTGGTCACTGATGTTTACGATTTTGATTTTTTGATTAGTTCACAAAACGTTCAGAAAGCAGGAAATCCTCAACTGTCTGGTATTTTTCTTGAAGATGGGAAATCGTGTCTTGATATTTCCCCCAGGGAAAGGGGAGGGGGACTTGGGTATCGTAGGTTTGTGCCACTCGCCTCTCCGACCCCCCACCCGTTATAGTTTATTTAATGGCCACCATAGACCCTTACTCACAAAATTTAACAATTTTTTGAAGCACAAATCTTACAGTTTTCAAATCTCTGATTACCAGAATTTTCCTACCCCCAGAATCACGAAAAGACGTCGATCCATCACCTAGTAACTCTATTGAAGATGCAATTTCATTTTAGTCAATACAGTAGTGAAAATGCGACGCCATCCACATCCCTACAAGCATATTACTAGGAAATGCCCACTCGTTCTTAACCGTTCGCTTCTTGATGACCTCCATTCTCAAGTTCAGCTCAACAACCAGTAGAATTGAAACAAAAGAAAATTCCGATGAGCCGATGAGCTCTTTCGAAAAACGTCGTCGCAT